CCATATTTATTGGGTGTTTACAGCTTTTTAGATTGAGCTTATCCCTGAAGTATTCCTCCCATGTCCTGCACAGCATCACATCCTATTTAATTACTGTGATTTCCAGATAATACTATTTGAAGATTCTATTTTTTCAAACCACTAGGCTGAAATTGGTCTAGGTGTGTTATTTATTGTGTATGTGTGATGAATCCAAAGGAGACTCGTGATTTATGTTTTGAATTGGACGGGCTGCAACCTCTATATTATTACAGCCTAGCCTTACTACTTCTCTAGTTTAAAGAAAAAAAAAAAAAGGTCTTGTGTCCAAGTGGTCCTCTTTGCAGCAGTGATACAGGGCAGACCTTAATGAATTGATTGGTTTGCTTTTTTCCCCAGACTAGGGTGATAGGGAGAGGAGAAGAAGAAAATGTAACTGATTTGCTCTGTTTTCCTTTCTGAAAGCTTTTTATCAGGAGGCTGGAAACCAGGTCTTCCCCCGGGAAAAGTTAGTTCTTTAAGTTTTTAAAAAAATTTAAAGTAGAGTTTGAATTGCATAGTCTTGAGCAACAAGTTTTATGGCACAGTCACTTGTTTTTCAGAATGGACTTGCATATGGCTTTCAGTTCTGTTTCAAGAGTTAAACTGTGAGTGAATAGCAGTGGTGGAAATATGAATGCACTTAACCATGCTATAGTTAAACAGTTTTAATTAGATTGTGTAGTAAGTGCCCTTGCCAACTCACTATTTTTCTAAAATGAAATTTCTTTCTTGTTATATGAAGTATAAAAACATGTCTACCTGAAGCGACAGCTGGAAGTGCCAGTTTTCAGTAACATTCATCTGTATTATATTGGGCTTTTTACAGCCTGTATTCTCTTTTTAGTGTACAATTTTAAAATTTGCCTTAAGGATTTCAGTGTCTGGTTACCGTATGCTATAGGTAGATCTTCAGCTGAGGTGTTCTAGACATGCTGGTAGTCTGACTTTGTTCACACTGAGCGAAGTGCAAAAATACTGTAGAGGAGAATGGAGACTTTTGACTCATCCTTTCTGTCTCATTAGCACCAGGTGTGGGGGAACAGTCTCAAGCTCATTACTCCGTCTCACGGTTACATTTGCCCCTGTGTTCACTGCTGAGTTTTGTTCTGTTAGCAGTTTATCACATTATATTAAATAGGATTTCATTAAGGCAAAAAGGCTGTTCAACAAGTGTCCTAATAATGCTGAAAAGCCTGTTATGAAGCCTTGGGAACCAATTAAGTAAATGTATACAATTTATTGGGAATGCATGTTCTCTCTATCCGATACAACTTTGATTATTTTTCTGAGTAAATTTGCCTTTGCTGTATTTCCACTCCATTACACAGCTCTGGTTCTTTCTGAAAAGCAGTTTAGTATTACTCCGAACAAACATCTTGAATATTTCTCCAGCAAAATATTTTCTTAATCTTCTCTCCTGTCTCCTTACAAGACCTAATCCGTGTCCTAAACTTGGAAAGCAAAATCCGTTTTAGGGGGTGTCTGCCCGGGGAGGGGGAGCAGTGCCAGGCCCTGGTGCTGGTGCTCGAGCTGGACCTGCAGGACGGGCGGGGTGCGGGCGGTGATGGGCAGGTTCTCTCCTGGGCTTTGGCAGCATCCTTCCGTGTCTCCCAGGATGATGCTTCCTAGGAAAAGAGAGGCTGCCACCCTGTGCCAGGAGTCCTTACTGCCTTCACACCGGCGGCCGTGGTGCTTCGGCAAGGGGGCGGCGTCTCGAAAATCTGATTTTTTGAGGGAAGGCTTGATGCTCGTGCGTTGAAGGCTCGTGACAGTGATCTGAACTGCTGTAGATAAGACAGATGTTTGTGCAGCTAGGCCGTGGTGCGTCAGGTTCATCTCAGTGGCTCGGTAAGCAGGAAACCACTGAAAAGTCTTGAGTCTTGAATAACAAGAATCTGTGATGGATACCAGGTTCTTGCGGGCTCAGTCTAAGAGGTTCTAAAATTTTTTTTTTTTTTGGTATTGAACTCGTAATCACTGTTAGCAATAAGATCGCAAGTAAAGTGAATTTATTATTCTTTCTGAAAGAGCAAAAATATGTGAATCAAATTGTTGGTTAAAATTCTATATTAGTATATAAAACTTCTAAAACATTAAAATAAACATAAAACATTTAAAAATACATTAAAATAAGTTTGATGTATTAACAGTGTAATATTAATATTAATACACAATTATAATATTACAATTATATAATATGTGTGAGAACAGTTGTTACTGTATATTAAAATTGGAACCATGTGACACAGCACTGCTGGAGGTGTCTTGGTGCAGTTCAACAGAACTGAGAGAGGACCAAGTTTTGGTTTCTGTTCTGCTCCTCCTGAATGATTGCGTGGCTGATTAGGTTGTTTTTTTTTAATCATGCCTTTCTTCTTACATGTAGCTTTTAAAATTTGATGGTGTCTCTTCAAGGAATGGGAGAGGTCTGTGAAGGACGTGGAGCTTTTAACTAAGGGGACTGAATGAATTCTCAGCTTTAAAGTAGAGATGTGTCAAAGCAAGCTTCTTACTGATTCTCAGCATTCATAGAGCAGAGATGCAAACCCTGAGGTTTTGCAACATATTGTAAGTGGAACTAACATTTGGCCCACCCTACTACTAAATTTACACATAAAAAAGAGTGAATGTTAAATTATTTGAGATCTGGATGCTCATCTATGCATTGGGTATAGTATCTCACAACCGTATTTTACATCCATTCAAAATTTCAAAAGAGTTTTTGAGATCTGTGAAGTCTGCTCAATAAAAGATAGTGCTTGAAGGACAGATATCTGTGCTTCAAGGCAATCATGAGGAAAATCAGTGTGAGAATTGCAGCTTGTGGGAGAGTTATGGCTTGTATTACTGTTGATTTGTTGGTGTCCATGTTCAAAGTATACTTCAGATTTTACAGAATTAATGCAAATGTCTGATCTTTGCCTTAAAAAGCATCACCAGTACTTGAATAACCAAGGACCAACTTAATTGTGTTGGACAAAATATTTTTATGCCACTGAAATTCTGCCCCAGTAATTACAGAAGGGAATGCCCTAACCCCCACACACTGGAGATCACAGTTTTTCACCACTGTAGTTTTTTGAAAGGGATGTATAATTTTAGGTAAGGAGTACTGACATCTTGTGGCTGCATGAAATAGTGCAAAGAGCTCTGGTCACACCAGCCTTTATGTTTAGAAGAGAGTGTTGCAATTTTCACAAAAGCTAATGACTACATTTCCCAGTGGATATAAACAGAAGCCGCTAGAATGTGCCAGTCTCGTGAAAAGTGTTAAAAGTAAAAAAAAAAAAAAAAAAAAGCCTGTCTGTCTTATAATTTTGCCGTTGCTTATGAAGATGCAGTTATTATTCATGCTTGAATTATTGTTTACTTTATATCTTGGAACAATTAGACTCAAATGTTATTGAGGCTCAGAGGTAGCTGGGGGAGAAACAGAAATATGAATCCCATCCAGTGTTTTTCACTGAAATGAATTTCACTTCTGTGACAACGAAATCTTACCAACTGGGATTTTAGGAAAGGCACTAACTAGCTTGAATTTCCCGTCCAGCATTTTTCGTTTGTTTTAAAAACTTGACTGTGTTTTTTTGTAATCAAAACAAGTGGGAAAGGACGAGTAGCCTCTCCCCAGCCCACCAGGGAGGCGGTGGTTTCGTGAGGACTGTTGCAGGCACAACCGCCGTGCCTTGTAGCGGCGCCCCACAGCCCGCCCCGTCGCCAAACAACCGCCCTTCTCAGCTGGACCAGCTCCCGCGTCCGTTTGCTGGCCGGACCCTGAAATGCTGGTGGAGGGGCAACGTAACAGGTCTCGGTGTGAAGCCTTGTGGCAACGGGAAAGTGATTTTATTTTAAACCCAAACTGGTTTCGGCCGTTGGCTTTCGCACTCCCAGGCCTGCACGCTCGCGTTCACAAGCACGGGTGTGTTGGCTGGGCCAGGCACGATGGGGAGAGGACGGATGCCAGCCGGCAGGTCCTCCTCACATCTCTGGGGCTCCTGCTAGACGCCCGTGGAGCTCCAGTACGTGTCTGTGCTGGTTTTGGATGTGCCACTTCATACCTTCCGGCAGCTGGCACTGATTTATCTCTCCGTCCAGTCACGCCTCGCTCTGTGCCATCGGGCTTTTGCTTGCTGTTCCTTGTCTCCCCACGTGGGTGTCTTGAGAAGAGGACCCAGACGAGCTCCTGGACGGCCGCTGATCTCCGTGCCCCCCAACACGTGCCACCCCCAGAGTCCTCCTTCCACCGGTTGTGCCTTCCGACGCTTCCACACCCACGTCCCACCCATCCTCCGCTCATGCCACGTTCAACACTTCTCTTATAGTTCCCTTCAGGGTTGTTTTTCTGGTCATAGTGAGCTGTTCCTCATTTTTACCAGGGGGCTCAGACCCGTGCTGTCCTGCGGGTAGGTGGTTGCTGCAGGAAGAGTGTGAACGTTGTGGACTGACTTTAGAGTTGATTTGCCCATCGTGAGTGTTGTAGGAAATGTGTCTTCATGGAATGGGGAAGCCTGGACACAACAAAGTCAATGAAGAGTTACACTAGTGGTGTCAGTAGATCCTGTGCATTTTCAAAGGCATAAGATAATTAGATTAATATTTTACAGAAGTCACTTTAACTTTATAATCTTATTTTTTGTGATTGCATTAAGACAAAATCCTAGTCCTAATAAGGGCATAATTCTGTTAGCTAAAAACTGCACTGCAGTAGCCAATATTTCATGTATGACCTTGAGTATGGATTGCAAACAACAAAAGGTGATGCAAACACCCATTTGATGTTGCCACAGTGAATAACCTGAGTAATGACACTGTGGAAAATAGTAAATTATGTCAATAAAAAGTTCTTTCCTTAACTGCTGTTTTCGATTTGACTATCAGTAGAAATTATATTTAGTTATGTTTAAGGTAACTTCATCTTCATTCATTTAATGTACCGTACCAACAGGACATGATTAACAGTATATCTGTGTTGTTAACAGGAACCAGTGATCCGTACGTCAAGTTTAAACTTGGAGGAAAAGAAGTATTTAGAAGTAAAACAATACACAAGAACCTCAATCCAGTGTGGGAAGAAAAAGCTTGCATTCTTATAGATAACCCAAGAGAACCGTTGTATATAAAGGTGAGGCACTATCTTACTTATGTCTGTCAAATTACAACAGAAGAGTGATAGAAATCATTTTTATTTTGTAATTTTTTGTATACTGAAAAATTTATTGTGCAGTATTGCTTTACTAGAGACTATTTAGAGATGAAAATTATTTAAATTACAGCTGTAGAATGGTGATGTCAAAATTTTAAAAAAAAGGTAAATACAGGCATTTATGTTTATTTCATACCATAATTGTTTTATATTTCTTTAGTGTCATCTCAGGAGAAAGACAGAGGAAGTAAAATGTGTTTCGTGATGATGGTATCCCTTTTATTTATGGAAAGATCACTGCATAATTCTGTTATAAAGCATAATCTGTCCCGTTAATAGCAATTGTTTGCTGAGGTTAGTTTGAGAAGTTACCAAGATGTGTGTGTGCAATTTTCCTAGGTTTTGGGTTTTTTCTATTTTACCTGGACACATTAACTTTGATTATGTGCTTGCATTTTTTTTTTTTTTTTTTTTTTTTTGCTAACTTCATAACTCTCCTTAGTATGTCGCAGGTGAGGATGATTGTGTCATAATAGAGTCATTACTCATTCCGAAATAACAGATAGCTTGAGTTTAAATCAAAGAGGGGCCATCAATGCCCAGAGTAGTTAGCAGCGGTGCCACGGGTACTTTCTAGATAACCTTACTGGAATGGAAACTGTAAAGCTGTGATCATTGGTTTATAAGGCACAGAATGAAAAGGCGCTTTTCTGACTGCTATAGTTTATGGTGATCTATATCCAACAGTGTTCCTTAAATCTGTAAAACAAAGTAGGTAAAGATTAAACTCTAGAAATGGTATCGGAAAAACCATAGTCTTAACATTCTAGTTAGAACGTACATAGATCAAAAGTACTTCAAGAAGGTGTGGAAACTTAAGTCTTACCTACGTAATCCTTTTAATTGCTCTGAAATGATACAATACATCAGACCAGTACCAGTCTTAATCTCAAACAAATGACAAGTTTTTAATGGAAACACCAAATTGTAGATTTTTTTTTAGTAGACCAATGCCACTTAAACAGCCCTTGAGTATTGATCTGTAACGTGTTTCATGTCTTCTGATCAGATAAAGTACATCATTATTAGAAAAGCGTAACGTTAATTTCGATTCTCAGTTGGCATTTTCTTGCCTTTATTAAGTTTAGTGACTCATAATGAGTGAGCACATGCCCAGCACTGTGAAAGAGAGGAGAATATAAAAAGGACAATTACAACATAGCTACCTGTTCTGGTTTACTTATGCCAAATACCAAACCTGCAGTAGGGTCACAAGGGAATATATGTGTGTATTATTTTTTTTTTTTTTTCTAGGAAGGTTGTGTCAAGTGGAGTAATGTTTATTCTCTGAACACAGTGTGAAATATTTCAATTTTTATGCCTTTTTCAGGTATTCTAAGACATAATTAAACTGTACTAAGTCATCTGATAATATTTATTTGGCTTTTCATCTTGATAATTTGTAGGGGGAGAAATCAATTTTACTTTGCAACATGACCTTAGATTTCATGATTAGTTTTGTGTTTTTTTTTTTTTTTTTTTCCATTAGTATTAATATTAGACAGAAAATATGAGGGTACACTCAGGTGGATCAATGCATATGAGAGACCTGTGCTCAGATTCTTGCATTCAACCCTTTCATTCCCACAGTAGTGCTGCAGTCTTTGGGCCATAGGATTTCTGTTACTACTGTTTTAACCCAGTCCATACTAAGGTATTTGTAGAAGAGGAACAGCTTTGTCTGCCTCCTGGAAGAGTTTCTTTAAGACAAAAATTGAAGTATTTACATCAGAATTGAAGATCTTGAAGCTAGGCCTGTCACATCTCAGTTAAATGTTCTCATTGCTGGCTGTTCACTGATCCCACTGTTACTTAGAGCTGAAGGTATATTCTGGTCCTCAATGTTTGTCAAGAAGATTTAACTTACCAATAAAATTGATTTTGATAACTGACATTTTCCCATTTTTTTTTTGGTAATTTTACATCACAAATTTTCTTTGTTGCCATCCGCTCTCCTTGTTTATTTCCCTCTAAAAGTCATCCCCAGTTTATTTGTTATTTTTCTTTCTGACTTGGGAAGGCATAATCCATCTCAAATCATTGATACTATTCCATTTACTGGCCATGGATTCCTGTCTGGATGTCAGTAAATTTGTCCAGATGATTTCTCTTTTAGGTAGCAAGTTAGCAAGCAGGATCCTCCTAGTAGCATAATAAATGTCACTATTTGCCTGCATATATCCACCAAGTTTTCAGTTTAGATTACAGTATTTCTAAACCCCTAGAAATTTATACGACCTGCAAAACCTACAATTTTATCATTCCTAATACTGATGCAAGTGCTGTAACAACCCACTCTTCACAATATGTCGTCCTCTTGCAAAGTTGATAAGGATGTCAATGAATGTATACCAAATCAATGATTCTGCTTAGCTTTTGTTATTCTTTTGCTCTTCTTCCCTTTGGTGCCTATGTTTATAAAAATGCTTGTTTTGTTTTTATAAAGTTGATGTTCACATACGTGATCTGGAAATAGTATACCCCTGTACTTGCACACAATGCATTCTGACTTTTACATAAGCAGTTTCAAACTTGATTCTGTGGCCAGGAAGTTGCAGGTTACTTTCTGATAGTCCTGGTTTGACATGCAAGAAACACGTGGCTTAACTCTGGAAAAGGAGTTTCCGGAACCATTCGTAAAGCCAGAAAGCATCAAAAAAATGTTTCCAATACTGAAAAATGCATTTATCTCCTGTGCATCTTAGGTCTTTGACTATGACTTTGGACTTCAAGATGACTTTATTGGTTCAGCATTTTTGGATCTCACTTCACTGGAATTAAACAGGTATGCCACAAACAAGCCTATGCAGTAATTCTTTATGGTTATCTGCTGACACCATGTTTGTGGAATTGCAAGTAGAACGTCATGCTAGAAAATAACTATACAAGCCTACACCGCATACAACTAGCTGAGGAAAACCACTTTTGTTTAGGGAATTACTGTAATATGAATGTTAATATATTAACTGATAATGAACCACATATTTTACAGTGTCTACGGAAACATTAGTTTTACAACCACTTTAATCTTGTCTTTATATTACCCTCATTCACAGCATTACCACTTAGCGTTTAAATTTTATTTTTCTGTTTTTTAATCCATTAATATTACAGTTCAGATGTAATTACTTCACTACATTTAAGTACTTAACACGGACTAACAGGCTTTAGTATTTATTTATGAGGGTTTAAACTGCAAAACTTAAATGTACAAATAAGGTAAATCTGTGACATCGTTTTCAACTAGTTTCAAATAAATGCAGATGCCTTTAATTCTCATGATTCAGAAATTTCATTATGTGAGAGCCTGACATCAAGATAAATGCATACATTTTTGTCTCCTAGGCAAACAGATGTTACGTTGAGCCTGAAGGATCCTCATTACCCTGACCATGACCTGGGAAGTATATTGTTATCAGTTCTGTTGGCTCCTAGAGAAGAACAGCGAGAAGTGGTACTTTTAAATATTTTAATACATGTCATCACCCTTGTGATTGTTCTGTGGTTGCGTGAGTTAAAGCACAAGAGTAAACCACATATTCTGAGATTAATTTGATTTTTCCAGTTCTTAAAATAACAGTGAACAGTGTTTCTGGTATAGTACAGCATAGTTCATATGAATTAAATCCTCCCTGAGATAGGACTGAGGGATCCAGATGGATCATAAATGCTCAGCAGTTTCCAATAAAGTCAGTTGCAGCTGAACGGTGCTGATTAATATGGGAAAATATCAGTAAACCACTGGTGAAGAATTTTGGACCTAGTGCTGCCATCTCTAGATAAGAACATTTGAATCCTATTCCACTCTGAAAATAAAGAAACTTGAAGAAAGGTTGTAATTCTGCTTTTTGGCATCTAATGATGAAGTAGTATTTGATGTTTTTCAATGTAATGACTAGATTTCAATTACAAAATTGTGTGGTTTTCTAGTTTTATTGTAATTCCTTCATCAATCTTAGTTTTCTGAGCTGCTTAGTTGTAAGTGAAAACGGTTTCTGGTTTTATAGATCCTGTTAGTTGTGACAAATTCTGTCTCTAGCTGGATGTATTTTACTAGTTTTTTGTCAGTTGACTTTTGACTTAAGCAGCAGTAGTATAACTATGGCAGAAAGGCAGGAGGTGATATCTCACTCAGAGGTTGTAAAATAACGTGGTTTCCCTTGGCTTCAGAGAGGCCAAGAAAAAAAGTATTACTTAGTTTTCCATGGATATGGCCAACTATATGGCTTTTGTAAGAGCACCGATGTTTCTGTATGCTGCAGTGTGACACATCATCCTGTTTCATACCTGAGGAGTATTGGTAGGTGGTAATATTGTTCATTTTCTGTGTTTCTGCTTGCTATGGTTTATTAAATAGCCTAGTAGGTCAGTTGTTAGAACCAGGTGTTTGGCATTTGGTATGACAGAGATGTAGAGTTTTGAAATTTCTTCATGACATTCTGTTAGAACTTGATAAAAATAATGGAATATGGTAGTAATATGCAGGAAGTTTATTTAAATGATGTATTTTTCTTTCTTTTAGCAATATGTTTTTTCCAGACAACTCAGAACACTATCTTGCAAATTTGTACCACAAGAGTGTTTATCACTTAAATTGAGAAATATATTTCATTAACGGGGTTTTTTTGTGTGTGTTTGGGTAAGACCAGCATTTCTGAGTCAGCTGGTAACATCCTTGTTTTTCCAAGTGGCTTTGGTACTGTCCTGCCATAATTCTAAATCATGCAGCCCAGAAATACTATATTTTTACATAGGAAACCATTACGTGGACAGCAAGTTAGTTTTCTTTTTTCATGATACAGATAGGGTAGCTGCTGTGCCGCTCAGTGCTATCAGCTATTACACAGAGAGAGCTCAAGAAAGTGACAGGTGAGAAAGTGAAATTAAGACACTACAGTGTAACGTCTCTTTCGTATGGGTATTTACTTGATGAATTAGCAACTGGACATCTGAAGTAACGGGAGCGCCACTGACTTGCTGGAGAGCAGGTTTTTTCATATCCAGCTGACTGGTTTTAGTAGGAGGAAGAATTGTTTTTGTGCTGTTACGCATTTCATTATTTGCCTTCTACTTAGTAAGGTAATCCTTTTAGTTTAGCTCAACTGACCAATTTTTCCTCCCATTCGAACTGTTACTTAGGACTTCATTCTGAAAATGTCCAAGATTCAGATTAAAATTCTGATTCCTAATCTGAGTTTGTTAGAAACCAGCCTTCCCAAGATACAGATCTCATAGTGGTTCTGACACAGTTGCAGTAAAATCAAAGAATTTGTGTCACAATACAGGGAAGATGGCCTACAAAATTAATAACAAATTGCTGTATATGAATTTGTTAGGGGTTTAATAATTCAAGGCGCAATTATCTTTTATTCAGTTACCACATGTACTTATTTATTTATTTATTAGATTTTATTTACTCTCTAAGGAGTAGATATATTACAAAATGTATTGCCTCAATTAAACTGTCATCCTTGGTTATTTTTAAAAGGTCTTGCAATAATGAGGATAATTTTTATTGACTTTAATATGGTTGAGATCAATAAATTTTCAAATGTTATGTTAGAGGAACGAGGCTAATTCTTGTCCACTCTGCAAATGTACACTGTATAAAGTAGTAATTTTACTTACTCCTGATTTGTGCTGCATTCTAATTGAATGATTACTTCTTCCCTTCTACTTGGATATCTCTATATAGGTAATAATTCAAATAGTATAGTTGAAAGTTATAGATAAAAACCTGTGAGCACCTTTAAATAGGCTTTAATGACTGCTGCAGAGAAGACACAGAAACACTGTCTCTTTACAGCACATGCATTTTTTTCCTAAGTCACTGCAAATTTATTCAGATCCGGTTGGTTTGATATCCCTATATAGCCTACATTTCAAAAATGTATTTTCTTCTCAGTAAATTTTAGTTTGTTCAGGTGATAACTCTAAATTGCTTGTACGTGTTATCCCATGTAAATGGTGTGAAATGGTAAAATCATCAAGCTGAAGGATTCAGAAATTAACTGATAGTACTTAGATTTTCAGGTTCCCTATTTCTATATAATTAAAATGAGAGTGTTCATTAAGACCATTGGGGAAATTAAAAAAAAAAGAAGCAACTTCAACAAAAGAAGTGTCAGCTTTCCCACGTAGCTGTAGAAGCAGCACTGTGTCTGATCCTGTATTTTGGGCAGCTCTGTAGCCGAAATCCAGCCCCAGTCCCGTTGACCAGACTTGCTGTTTGCGATGTGTTTGCTGGGTGAGTTTTTGGTGCGGATCAGACTTTCGAAGGAGATCCCCCTTCACTGCCTGACCTGGGGCGACTGAGGGTGTTCTGGGGTTCATGTGCTGATGCGCAGATAAAGGCAAAGTCTTTCGGGGATGCATTTGTGTAGCTAGAGGACAGGTCTTGAAGCAGAGAATTTTACTGGCATGTCAGAATAATGCAGCTGTGTATTACAGGAAGATGCATCTTGTCACACTGCACAAGAAATACTGATGCTGGTGGATGATAAGATACTCCAGTTGGAAATTTTAAGTTAAATGGTACAAAGCTGGGGGCCTTGTATATTGCTGCCTGTCAGTGAGAGAGGTATTACTACAAATGATTCAAAAAATAAGCAGTCACACTGAGTAATAGCTGATTTTGTTTTGGGTGGAACCATCTCCTGTGAAGTCTTGAGGTGTGCAGAGTGATGAGGGGGAGATTTGGTACACACAGGAACATTCTCTTTCTCATCTTTCTGGAAGAAGTTCTGATGAAATGCAGATTTTCTGTGTGCTGACTGATGAGGTGTTCTTTGGAATTTATAACCGGACAGTCCAGTTTCCTAGGAACAAAATAGATTACATCTCTGGATTCAGATATCAATTAAGAATGTATAACTGTATGTAAAAATGTATTATAGACTAGGAGACGGGAGTGTTTATCTTTGAGTCGTGGTAGATGGTGAAAAACAGTGCTTAAGTAATTTACAATTTGTGTTTTTCCAGTAGAAGAATATTCAACACGGTTTCAATTAAAGGGCTTCCAGTATAATAGTTTCCTAAATAAGAACACACTATTTGATTTTTGTGGTGTGTTTTATTGGAAGAAAATGCAGAAGTAGCCTGCAGTTATCGCTGAATATTAATGTAAGAGTATAGGCAGGTGAGCAAATGAAAATTTCTAGCAAACCTTGTATATAATTATCTTTGTCTTTTGCAACCCAGTGCTGGTTCTAACAGCATAAAAATGTGAACTTTAAAAGTAAGAATCTTGTAATATCTCATTTAAACTGTGTACATGAATAGAAGTCTTATTCTTTTGATTTTTGACAAATGAAGGGAATCTGATTTGTTCTGAGTTTTGAAGAATCATAAATCACAAAGCAAAATTGATGAATGAATTATTCCTTTACAGCTGTAAAAATGTCTTTAGTATTCGCGAAAAGTATAATCTATTTCTGGCCCAACACGATTAAGTTGCAGTAGCACTAGTTCCAATAATTCATTTGCATTTGCTCTGTGCTGTTAATAACAGTTGTCCTTTACATTAATGCAGCATTTTTAATTATTTTGCTTTGGGAGGACAGATAGTTTAGATAAGTAAACCAAGAAGACACGAAGTAAATAAGTATGGGAAAAGTACGTATATATAAAAACTTTAAAACTTGTGAGCGCTAAACAATATTTTTTAACTCTTCTTTTAAAAAATAATGTGTTTATGATGTACTTTCTGTATTTTTCATTAATTTCTCCTTTGGATGACCAGTTTAAAAGAAGTCAGAACCAGCAACGATTTGATTTTTTTTCCTTAGACCTTCTCCAGTGAAGCTCGTTTTGTTTCTTTTAATTCCGACAGTATTCTGCTAATGTTTCCCTGCGGATCCATGTACTGCTGTGCATGCCCGTGTGCCGTTTGCATGCATGCTGGTGTAGAACCGTGTGCTTGGTGGTGCAGCCACGGGTGCCGGGGCGCATGTGGGTTTCTCCGGCTCTTTCCCCGGCAGATTTTGGCGCGCAGATTTCGCCCCTGGGGAACTTGCAGAGTGACTCTGAGTTCCTCAGAGCCGCACGCCTCCCCTGGCTACTCCACAACAGTTGTTTCCAACCTTGGCCTTAGGGGCAACTCTCAGCTACAGGATATGAAAAAACTGATGAGAACTGTTGCCTTGAGGCCAGCAGGGATTGGGGACTGCTGTTCCAACGCTGCCAACGGCCTGAGCAGCACAGAAAATGGAAAGAAAGAAAGAAACGTATGAGTGCTACTTGGATGTTGTTACTTAATAACTTTCACAGCTTCACAGCCTTGCTTTTTTCCTTAAATAATTTATCCCAAGTGATGCTTAATATTTTTTTGTTTCATATGAAAGTATTAACAACATTCATATGCTGTCAATTTCCTTGCTGTCTTAAATCTTACAATGCAATATTTATTTTTTGTTAATTTGCCAGAGGGGTAATAGCATTGTAGAAAAAAAGAATGACAGAGATGGACTCGGGGCATGGAATGTTTTCACATGGAAAAGCTCCATGTAGATCATCCATCCTAATCTGCCACGTGCTATAGATTTGTTTTATTGGCTTCTGAGGATGGTTATGATGGCTTCAGCTTGTCCTGCTGCAGCTGGTGGTGATGCTGATGCACTCAAGAAGTATGGCCATACGTTTCTGCAGCTGCTACCCAAACTGAACTCCCCGGAGTTGAAATAGCACTCGATGTGTAGTTAATTCAGCTGTCAGGCCGTATCCTCCTCCTTGCTCACAGCCTGGTCCGGAGCCCAGTGAGCCTGAGCTCTGACTTGTAGCTGCGTAGGATTCAGCAACGACGGGGAAGGGAGGAGCTGTGCTGTGCTGGACAGGACCCAGGACCTCGGAGGTTTTCTCCAGGGCCAGCTGTGGGACTCAAGCTGCTTAATTCTTACGAGCCTCTCCTGTAAAAATGAGTTAAACGGCTTTCTCCAGCTTTATAAAACATTTACTATCTATGTGTATTTTCCAAAGCCACAGTGCTACAGTTATCATTAACTTATGGCCGAGCCTAACTGACCACAGCATCTTAAAAATTTTCCTTAGCAGCTAGTTGTTTTTCTTGTATAAAAAAAGCCTGTTTCTATTTGAAGAATTTCTGGATATTTCAAAAATATAAAACCCACATATTTTCTCCCATGTTCATTTTTTCCCCACGTAATGCTTTTATTTCTTTGCAAGGAAAATGATTGCATTTCAAAATTTATTTCCATTATCTAAAAAAAAAAGTGTTTTTGCAGTAGTTAATAAAAACGAAAAATTAAGTTTGCTTTACATGACAAAGTTTCAACAGAAATTAGTGGCCTTTGATTTATTCTTGTTCAGTGTCAACAGCAGGCTGCTAAATGTTACTGAACTGTATAAATTAATTTCAACGTGTTTCCACATAACTGCTTTAAGCAGCTGTTGTGTTCACAGATAAATTGCCCACATTCATCTTGACCAATACGTCTCTTTTAGTTAATGATTAAGAATCTGTGTCAGTGGGCACTGGACACTTTGCCTCCCAGCATGTCAGAGCATTGTCTCTAGCAGTGCCAAGGCTTTATGGATTATTTAGGTAATGGGATGGAGCTACTATATTTTGGTTTTGTTTTTAAAGAGTCAAGGTATGAATTTTTTTCTACCCCATGTGCATAATTACCAAGTCAAAGAGCTATTTTTACTGCTGTGAAACTAATCAGCAGTGGTAACCTTAAGGATTTTGTAATAGATGCATGTTCTGCAAAGAGCCCTATACAGGATTCTTCTTACATGGCTAAACCTGTGAGCTAAACAGTTGTGTTCCAAAAAATTGGAGTACATTAATATTAAAAAAACTATCATTCAGGTATCAGTCAAAACTGAAGTCACTATCAGTAATGACACATTAATTTTTTTCATTTGCTTATGTAATTCTTTCTTTCTTTCTTTCTTTTTTTTAAAAAAAAAAAATGATTTCACGTAATGCATTATCTCTGGAAATGAGACGTTCATACCACGCCGGAAAGTATGCCAGGGTGGAACGGTGCTGCTAGTTGTCTGGATTTATTTCAGTCTTGTGTAGTTGTCACTGGAGTGTACGTGTTGCTGCTTCGGTTGTAGTGGTGGTTAAATGTGGATTGTCCCACTGGAGACAGTTGGCCTCCTTCTCTGTATTGCAGAGGAAAGGTAATTAAAATGCTCTATTTTATTTTCAGACAATGCTAATGAGGAAGAGTTGGAAAAGATCAAGTAAGGTAACTTTTAGCATGTGGTCTTCTGGCTTTTTTTTTTTTTTTTTAGAAGAGCTATGATGTTTTACCAAACATGCCATCTAGATCTGAAAACCTGTCGCACAGGATTCGTTCTCCTTCAAAGTGTGTTTTAATGACGTTGTTTCATGTTTCATCAAATCAAAATCATGAAACACTTGAGCTTTGAATGTAATCATGAAACCTCTCAACTTTGTTACAGCATTTTAGCCTATCTTGAAGTCATCTAGTAACTTCCTGTAAGTGGCAAACGTATCTTGATGCTTTTTCTAAGACCCTTCTCATGCAGAAGCAATTTCCTTGAAGCTTACTTGTTGACGTTAACAGGCGATTCACACCAAAGGGTAACTTCAGGTTTCATGTTGCCTACTCTTACTACTGATTAGAGTTTCTGGGTGTGGAAGTTATCTCCCGATGCCTCCCAGAGGTGGATCCGCCTGGTCGCTGGTGGTGCGCAGATGGCAGCGGCTTCCCAACCTAACAAACCGTTCTCCATCCCCGCTTCATACAGCTCTGTAGGTGCCTCTTCAGGCAAATTCAGTGTCTGGTTTTTCTCCTCTGAGGAGGAGTCATGAAAGTGACAAAAACGGGGCAGTGTATGCTTTTTTTCCACTAGGGAAAGACTGGGAGTTTGACTGTAGCGGGATGCAGTCCATTTTTTACCTTTTTCCTGTATATGTCTCCAAAAAGGTAGAGAAAATGCGTATAGTTTCTCAGTAGTTTCCTGGCCACTCTTCCATAATGATGCTATGCAGCTTTCAAGGTTTAAGCCTTCTTATTGTTATTTGCATAATTAAAAATAGAATTAAAATTTCTCAAAGTCTTGAGCTGCTGTGGTAGATCTGGGTATTTTTGAGACATTATCATGGAAAAGTATTAAAATGGGAAAAAATAAATAGCTATGTGGGGTGATTTCACCTACTTTGTAAAGCGATTTACTTTTCTAGCATATTGATGCACAAATTCAAATAGAAGTTTATTAATAAACAGTGTTGTATATAGTACTCATTGACAGATATTTGCACGGTATTTTTAACCTTTCGATAAAAAAAGAGAGCAGGGTTCATAATTTTGGGGTTATGGATGGGGTTTTCACACGGTCTGCTTCTGTGGTGCAGAAAAGTATTCAATCTCTGTTTCCTTTTTGAAATCTGTAAAGTGATGATATGTAGAATTTTGATTCTCATACGGTTCATGTAGCTTTTCCTGAAACACGATAGTTTGGAATTCTTCAGAGCTGTTTAAGTGAATTATTTATCTTGTGTTTTCCTTTGTTACATTCATGTGATAACAACTCATGCGGTAGTTGCCATTTTTGCAAAGGGTTGTATCAGAAGATTTGGCAAAGAGCGAATGTATGAATGTAAATGCTGTATTTTTCTACATCTATCTCTGCTGAAGTAGTAATTTTACCTGGAGATGTAATGTATGTACGACGTACTACATTCACTGTTGTGTGTGTAGTTTATATACAGAAGTATCTCAGTTAAACCACAGGAGCTCATTTGCCTCGTGGGTCTATCGCAGAGTTCCAAATCTTTGGTCTGCTGTCAGGAAAACAAATAAAAAAATCTTCTATATACAAAGAATCCCTTCACAAAAAATGCTGTTCTCTGATGTGCAGGATGATCAATATTAAATAAGACATCATTTGCAGATTTTAAAAAAGTCTAGAAATAGGTGCTTAATGCTAATAGATAATAGAGAAAGTGCCCTGTTTGAGATCCTTCTTCTTCAGGAGATGCTGCTTCTCCTGAGATCTGAGAAAAAACAGAGTATTAAAACTTTTTAGAGATACTGTTATAAAATTTTCTAAACCTGTTAGCTCTCTAGAGTCTTTACAATGGCACTTCTAGTAAATTAATTTGATTTTACAGATTATGACAGTATATTTTACTTTTTCAAATTCCTGTACTTGAAGCCGACCTCTTCTGTGACACACGTAGCTTGAAGTTAAGACATAGCAGTGCAGACCACCCTGGCATTGCTTGTGTTCATGGGCTGCGTTGCTTGCCCATGGTTCCCTGGGCACGTGTAGTAGCTGTGAAAAGAACCGTAACTAGTCATCTCTACTACTGTATTATGGTATTCACGTACTTGCAGACAATTACTCTGGCCAAATTCTGAGTCTCTACTTCAAATACTGCCCCTCTGTGCACCCTAGAGATGAAGTTAAGGTCTCATGAAATACCCAGGTCAATGAAGCTTTGTCATTTTACTTATTTTGTGTGTAAACCAGTCTTTTTAAACTTACTAGTGTTGTAAACATTTGTTAGTGGCGTTGCAAAATTGTAACACCACTTTTGCTTTTGTTTTTATTTTTTTTTTTTTCTTCTGTTGCTGTTGTTTTTTGGTGGTTTTTTTTTCTTTACTTTTCCCTGTCATGTTTGCTTTATACCAAACATACTCTTCATCAAAATTCACAGGAGCGACATCACTCCCCGCACTGTCCAGGTCAGAGGGAATGCTCATCTTTCACTGAATCTAGCAAAAATTGCATTCAAACAATTTTGAAGTCAGAGCATTTATGTCTTTTTTCTGTGAAAAGGAAACACAAATTTCCTGTCTTCAGTGGAGGAGACTCCTGGTGGGCTATTTAAAATACCCAAAGCTACTTATTTAAAAAACAAAAACCAACCAGAACCACAACTTCTGCTGGGAAGTTACAATTTGCATTTGGTTTCGAATTGATTGCTTTATTTCATTCAGCACAAGCTTAGTGTTGCATTAAAGCAAACTGGTGGCCAGTGATCACGGCTTCGCAGTGCTTGTAGGCTCCGTTAAACCAAACAGAGGATTTTTTAGCGTCTTTTTTATTTTAAAAAAGCTATTGGAAGAGCTTTGACGTGTGCGGAATGGCTTTCCTCTCTGTGCATGGATCTGACATGCTCTGGTTCTGTGCTTCTCCACATCCACTGCAGTTTTCCTTTAGGGCCAATTTGCCTTTTAGCCCTATTTCCTCTGCTGAAGATGCAGACTTCCCTGACAGCTCTCATTCTTTGGGTTGAGGGAAGCAAACTTCCTGCTTCTCTCTTGCTTTTTAAACCGTCTGGATACCAGATCTAATTTGCTGAAACAGTTGTTGCAGTCTAGGTATAAAAGGAGCACAGAGAAGACCACGCTTGCAAGAGAGGTAATTTATTACTAATAGTCAACACCACCTCTGAGGGCGAGATGAGTAGTGCTAATTGCTGAAGTGATTTCCATGACAAAATCCTTGAGGTGCAAGCTATCCATGGGATGAGAATTTAATCATTGCTATTTCCAGCACGAGCCAGTGCAGACTAGTTGGGAAGAGTTGTTTTCTCCTTTTTCTTCTGGTTATGAAAACAAGAAAAAAAATCAGGTCTGACTTCTTATTTACTAATTCTCCGCAACACAGGGGCTTAATCAATAGCTGAGGAAAGGGTGTAGGAAGGGAGCTTGTTAAAATGTTGGCAGCATAAAATTGAGTTGGAAATGCACATATTTCCCTCTTTCTCCTTGTCATTTTTTTAGTGTTCAGTGCAATGCGTCAAATATAATAATAATAAAAAAATCTTAGAGTTTTCTTTACCATTATGAAGCCTAAAGGTGATAACAGAGGAAAGAAGAGACTGTTTAAATGCACTATTTTTTCTCATGTAAAAACTGTGTTCTCTTTAATTAAGTACTTCGTCCTCATTTTTCTCATAGCTTTTAACGGTGAAATTTCATTACTGTTGCCATGCCTTTACTACCAACATATTTAAAAGATAAAATCTTACTGCTTCGAAAACTTTTTAATGTGAAATGGTGTTTAAATGTAAAATCAAAAGCATAAATACTAAACTTGGGGTCAGTGAAGCTGCAGTTACAATTCAGCACTGACAAATGTGTTTTCCAGCCAAAATCAAAACTTCCCCTTGATTATAGCTGGAAATGGGGAAGGGGAAGAACCTATATGCTTTTTTTTTAAAAAAAAAAAAAAAGAAAACAACCCACAGCTTTTACTTTTTTTTTTTTTTTTTTTTTAGAGTTGTCAAGTAATTCTGCTTGCATTTGACAATTAATGCTTTGCTTCAGCTTAAGCAGAAGCCTTTATTTGGACAACCTCTCTCAAAGAGCATTCCATTTTATCTAGAGCGGGCACTTTTCTGCGTAGAACCTGAAGATACCCATAAATACTTTGTGAAAGATCTCCTGTTCCCTCTGCTGCTGTACATATTACAGGAGGTTAATTCAGAAAAGGGTGAGGGGTAGTGGCTTCAGCTGGTGCTAGTTACTTACAGGGTAATGCACACAGAGCTCGCTTTGAAAGTTTCATCCTTGCTGTGCGGGGTGGGAGAAAAGGAAGACAAAAAAATACAAGACAAGGAATTTCAGAAGGTAACTGGAACATCTCTGGAAGACGAGGCTGATGTCAAGGCAGGCAGTGTTGGTGCACAGACCAAACCTCACTTGCCAGAATTTCAAGTGTCTGGAGTATTTAAAAATCTACCTGTGTGCAGGGCAGGTATGAAAAAGACAGAAAATAGGATTAACAGCCTGAAAAGTTGTCTTCCTACCTTAAAGTGGGAATAATGACAACTAAACTGTGTTTGACAGGTGTTTGTTTAATCTGTCCTTAAAAATCTGCAGTGATGGATATTCTACAGCCTCCCCAGAGGGCCGGTTCCAGTGGTTAACTATCATTTCCATTAAAGGCTGTTTTTTTTCCCTTGCGTCTAGCAGTATCTCCCATGGTGCAGATTAAGCTCATCTCTTCCCACAACACAGATGGATATGTTTGATCACAGTGAGTTGTGCGCAATTTGTATACACATTTTAGAGTGAGTCTGCAAAAAAACGATCCTTTGAAATACATGTGCGTGTGTTTGTGTATACTTCATTCCCAGGGAAGGTCTGGGTGCTCAGGTGCTAACGATGAGGGGCGTGTAAGAGGAAACAAAACAGCGCTGTTTGGGATGAAGTTTTAGCGTGAGCAGGAAATAGGTCAGAGTGAGTAGTGAGAAGATGGGAGAAAT